CAAACATCTGAAGGGGCCCCTGGGTGGCTCAGTCGCTTAGGCGTCTGCCTTTGGCTCGGGTCATCGAGCCCCACATCGGGCTCCCTGCTTGGCGGGAAGCCTGCTTCTCCCTCTCCCTATGCCCCTGCTTGTGTTCCTTCTCTCGCTGTCTCTCTCTCTCTCGAATAAATAAATAAAATCTTAAAAAAAAAAGTCACATGCTGTACTGAGCCAGCCAGGTGTCCCAAAACACTAATTTTTAATAAAAATTTTAAATTGGCTTGTTTGAGAAAAGGATGTGTACCATTATGGTCTCTCTTCCCATTTAAAATACTTTTAATGGCTTTTCACTGCCAAAAGAAAGATGATTAAAGTTTTAGGTCTAGCTCCAACTCTCCCTTTGTATTTGCTACTATATTCCTTGGTGCAAGGATTTTGCAAGTATCCCACGCAGTGATGGTTAGTGACAGCTGACTACCACCGTCAGTGAGACCTTCAAATTCTAATCCTGAACTTAGGGGCAAACTTTTGGAGCTTTCCTCCTGAGATTGTCTTGTAAATCCTTCTAGAACCTCCATCTTTCCCAGCTTGAATCAAAAGACAGTGGAAAAACGTTTCCCATAAAAATTTTCTCTTTTTTGGTTATTCTGGATTAAGTTTGATGCCCTCTTGGAGGAACCAACTCAAATATATTTTAAAGGTGGTGAAATGTTGATTTATCATGTCCGTTTTTCATAAACTCTCCCATTCATGTTGAGGGGATAATGTGAGAGGGTAATGTTCAATCAGTAGTCAAGAGTATGTTCTTGGCTTGGCTGTTTTCCCAGCAAGGTTTTACATTAAGGAAAGAGCATGACTAAATAGGGTTGCTGTATAGTATATTTTACTGAATCAAACTGTCAATTGCAGTATTCATTTACTCAGTTATAAACTACTGCCTGTGTTTTACACATGGATCATTTTCTTTTGGATTCAGAACATTGGTACCATATAGACATGGTTTATAATGAGAGACCAAAAATCACATTTTCAAATAGAATCCTTTATCATGGTAATACTGGCCAATTTCAGGAATCCGAATAAAGGTTTATATCATACTTTAAGAATTCAACGTTTTTCCTTTCTTACCTTGTTTCAAGTCTTTTGTACAATACACTGTTATCTGCTTGCAGCACAAAAACTATATGAAACCAGCGTTCAGGAAAGAAATCACAACCATGGTAATCAACAATAACTCCACCTTCGCTCATTTGGTTTTCTAATTCATCAACTACCTGTGAGAAAGGGGAAAAAGAATGCTCCTTAAAAAAAAATGAGGTCAACTTTCCTATTAAATTTTAAGAAGTATACTTTATAGGGGCACCTGGGTGGCTCATTTGGTTATTGTCCAATTTTTTATTTGGCTCAGGTCGTGGTCTCAGGGTTGTGAGATCAAGCCCCATGTCAGGCTCCGTGCTGGACATGGAGCCTGCTTAAGATTCTCTCTCCCTCTCCCTCTGCTCCTGCCCCTCCCCTTGTGTTCTCTCTCTCTCTCTCTTTAAAAACAAACAAAAAAAGAAGTATACTTTATTAAAAAAAAATTGTACTTACTCTGTCTTCATCTAAAATGGGGCATTCATACTCTTCATCATAGCCATCATACAACTGCCCTAAAAGAGATTTACATTGGCATATTAAAGTAAAGTAGTATTTTCTAAGTAACTCAGTAGTCTTCAATTAATTTTAGACACTAGGAGAGGAAATATATCATCAATTACTCTTTTAGAGACTGAAGAGGGCACTAATACAGTAGATGTCACATGGACACCAAATGCAAAGAGCAATACTGATAAATTAGAATTTTATCTGAAAGGAAACTTGGATAGCAATCTATCTGATACCAATTTTAGTTATCAAAATTGAAACCAACTGAAAAACAATTTCAGAATTTGTGGGGCTGTTAGAAGAGGATTGTATTTTATTTTTGTTGAGCTACTGTTTGGTGGGAAGAGGGGACACATGAATACAAACACACACATTAACAGCAGATTAAGTATCACATTTATAAAGCTAAGGAGATGGAATTTAGTAAAAGCAACGACAGATTCTTGTTTCTAAGAATGAGCCCTCTGTCACAGAGGTGACATCTCCGTGGGGCCTGGGGAAGAAGAGTCAGAACCCAAGTGCTCCTGAACAGTGTTGTTACTTCTAGATTTCCAGTATTCCCAAAACCCACAGGTTAAATAAACATCTTACTTTAGGAAGCAAAACAAGAATGATGGGCAGTTATAAAGAAGGCAGATTTAAATCTCACATTAGAGTTTTCCAACAAATCAAAACTGGCTTTCAAAGATGTCTTGCTTTAGAAGGTGATACATAGGAGCACCTGGGTGGCTCAGTCGGTTAAGCATCTGCCTTCAGCTCAGGTCATGATCCCAGAGTCCTGGGATCCAGTCCTGCTTTGAGCTCCCTAAGCTCCCCAGGCTCCCTGCTCAGCAGGAAGTCTGCTTGTTCCTCTCCCTCTGCCCCTCCTCTCCACCCCTACTTGTGCTCCTGCTCTCTCCCACATAAATAAACATAACCCCACCCTCACCTGAATCTCTAAGAGACCGGTAAGAAGGCAGGCTTAGACCATCCTTTTAGCCATCTCTAAGAGCATGCTATAGTCTTCCTACATCTTTCCTTTGGGTATTTTTTTTTTTAAGATTTTATTTATTTCACAGAGAGAGACACAGTGAGAGAGGGAACACAAGCAGGGGGAGTGGGAGAGGGAGGAGCAGGCTTCCCAGGAAGCCCGATGCGGGGCTCGATCCCAGGACTCTGGGATCATGACCTGAGCCGAAGGCAGACGCTTAACGACTGAGCCACCCAGGCGCCCCTCCTTTGGGTATTTTGGCAAAGGTTAGGGACACCTGGGTGGCTCAGTTGGTTAAGCATCCAACTTTTGATTTTGGTTCAGGTCATGATCTCAGGGTTGTGAGACTGAGCGCCTCGATAACGGGCTCCCTGCTCAGCGGGAAGCCTGCTTCTCCCTCTCCCACTCCCCCTGCTTATGTTCTTGCTCTCACTATCTCTCTTCTCTGTCAAATAAATAAATAAAATCTTTTAAAAAAAAAGAAAAATGTGCCATTCACAGATTTCCTCTACCATTTACTTCTAACCTGAAAAAATTTTAAGTGATAAAATGATAAAAAACATTCAACAATAAGGAAATACTTAAATCTCGGTTTTCTAATTTGATGAAATATAATTAAAATAAATATTAAGGTAGTATTATGTAGTACAGACTAGGTTGTACATGATAAATACTTATAACACAAAGGATAAAACATAAAAAGCAGAATTCAAAGTTGTCTGCAACAGGGCCAAAGATTAGAAGAAAAACAAAAGATGGAAATAAATTAGGATTTGGAG